CTATGGAATCTTCGTGAGAGCAGGGTTGGTCTCTATTTTCCTTACCACTGCATCCTCAGTATATAGCACATTGACTGGAATACAGTGGCTCAGTAAATATTTATTGAATGTTTGATGAATGAACAAATGAAAGCTCTATTATTTTAATGGATTGTAATGGGCTACTAAATTGCTGTGAATTAAGGAGAAATGCTGTTTAAGATTCTGCAGCAGAAATGAGAATAGAATATAGAATACTTATAAGTTCCTGGCTTAATGCTCAATTGCAAGGTAAGACAGCTATAGTCAGAGTAACATCTCTCGCCTTCTACTTTCCAACCCAGGAATCTAAGATTTTATTTTTGTTTCCAAATGGTTGTTACCTCATGCCTTAAAATGTCTTAGTTGAAATGCATTAAAGTGTGAGTCCTCTGAAGAGATTTCAAAAAATAGGTGTTCAAGAAAGGCTCTTGAAGGTAGGGAGAGGAAGTTCATTCTCCTTTCCATTCTAACATCTGCAATCAAGGTCTTTCCTTGTGGATTATGGGGCTTTTGCTTCCTGCCTCAGCTGGGCCACCTCATACCACTGTGGCTTTTTGTGAAATAGGTGCAATTATTTAACACTTGGCAGTCATCTCAGAAAGGTGACCAACCCTGCAGCTGGCTTGTCATTTCCATAAAAGAAAGGGTTTGTATTGACTGTAGCCTCCCCTCTCTCTCTGGGGGTTGCAGGAGGAGCATTTCCTTTTTGTGCAGTAGTGCAACAAATTGTTTTAGTATAAAGACAAAAACTAAGAACTTCTTTTCATATCCTAGTGATTGATCTGATAAAAAGGCTGAATAATTTAAAAGATGCTGTCTACTTGAGGACACCATTCAAACAAATCCACATCCGAGTATTTCCAAGTACCACAATTATGTCCCGCACCTGGCCACTGACATACAAATAAAACCTAGGTGGCCTGAAGTCAACTGAAGGGCCAGGGCAGAACTCTCAATTTCTGGGTTTTGTTTTCGTAGTAGAGATTCAGGGATTCAGATGCTCCAGAATCCAAAGTGCTAATCCAATGTTAGAGTAACAAAGGCTTACTTTTTCCTCTAATTTTTTCTTTCATATATGATAGGAAGGAGAAACTTAAGAAGCTTAACTTTAAAAGTAACCATGATACATGGGAACAGCAAGATACAAATGAACTTGCAAGATATTCCTGACTCTTTCAGTCCTTTTAAAGTACATCTAATTCTCACTCTCTAAATACTATATAATTAACCACTAAATACTTGGACCAACTCTGATATTATTCAGTGATATTACACTGAAATACTAAATCTTATACAAATGATCTTCATAAAATCTATCGAAAATGAAAACAGTTTTGTTGTTTTCTTAAGATGATAGTTGATGTAAGGAAATCTTAAGCATTAGCATTTAAATGAAAAAATACCCACTACCTATGTTAAGCTAATTTAATACTTTCTTAGTAGAGTGGACAAATAAATGTATAATTGTTAAGATAAGATAAAGAACAAAATACTTTTGAAAAAAATCTTAATTAACTTAAGGCCAAATGTTAAAAATGTTAATTTGTGCTAAATCGAGAGAATAAAAAATATTTTTGAAAATAATTTTTAAAGCAATTTCCATTCATTATAAGATTTAGTTTTAAATTTAAAATATAAATATTCTTTGTAGGTAGTCTCTAGATGTGCTAAATATGAGTAAGTAAAAACAAAATATCTTAATCTTGACAAACAATAATTCACTCAAATATTACTCTCGACATCCTGGATCTAGCTTGCTTTTTCAGTTCCTCTTTTTCAAACAGAAAAGAAAAAAAGAAATGCAAAGTCATGCTAGCAAGTGACCATGAAAGTGCTGATGTTTGTGTTACAACAGCATGTAAATATATTCTACTTTTTAGGCGAAACATTATTTTAGGTAATCATAAGTCTGCGTTTGATCTATTTTTTTTTTTGTATTGAATAGACATGTATATTTATATATATATGAATAAATGAAAATCCATGGAAAAGATACTTGGCGAAGACTTAAAACTGTAAATCAGAAGTAAAATAAAATATGATTTCTAATATCTATATTTTTCTACTTCCTAAGTCTTTTAAAAAATAGGGAATAGAATGTAGAAAAAAGATGGTGATTTATGAAATTTAAATCACCTCACTATAAATAAAAGTGTACGTACCAAAAGAATGAAGAACATAAAGAACACAAATGTAGTGAAATAAATTGGCCCCAAAACTCGATTAGCTTCCTCAATCTCTGCGAAGTTGATATCACCCAAAAGGATACGGAATTGAGTGAAGCTATAAAAACAAAACAAAACAAAACACAACACAATACCACAATACAAAAACAAAGAATGTCCAGTATTGATGTAACAGTTTTTAAAAGATGATTTCATACTTTCAGACTTTTTTTTTCAGTGTAGAAAGCTGCCAAATAATAGAAAATTGTCAATCCCTTTGGAATACTCTCACTACTTATATGAGCAATTGAAGCCTTATGGAATAAAAATAATATGCTTTCTTTCTTAAATATGTTATTTCTATTTTTTGAAAAGAAATTATAATAATTATTATTGGATGACTTATAAAGCAATAGGCTATCAGAACTTAATACATAATCTAGGAAACACAGGGTAACTAAACTTCACTGTGGTCATTCTGTATCTGAATTTAAAATCTCTTTAAAAAAAGATTTTTGAAGGACAGCCAAAACGTGTGTTTCAAAGATCCAATATTCTCACATGCATGCAAAGTAGGGTCAAGAGTTGCCGCGTGTTGCCAATGCTGACCCTTAATTAGTAAAATCATTTTAATTTCTGATTTTATCCAATAGTAAAATTAATTAGGGCCCATGCACAAAGCCCTATTAACCTCCATTATCATGATCACCTCCTTTCCTAACTCACTCCTTTCTACGTGGCATGGAAATCTAATACTTGGCTACTTTTCCTGTTTTTAATACCATATTTGAGAACTTTGGAAAAAGACTGACAATTTCTGTACTGGTTTGAGAACATTAGAAATTCTACTTTTTTTTAACTTGAAGTTTAAAACATATGGCAACAATATTGAATAGAAATAAAAATACAGGCAGATGGTCTCTAAAAAGCTACCATTTGAATTTGGTGCTAAGAAAACGCTGATCTTTAGAACACTGTTGGTTTACTATGGCTGACCTACTATGTCATACTACTTTGGGGCTATTATCTCAAGCATCAGCATTTCAGAATGTATGGTCATCTTTGCATTGGTGGGCCAGTGCTTCTAGGAAAGAATTAATTCTCATTTTAAACAAGTATTTTTTAAAACACTTGGTGGTTAAACAGCAATCATGAAGATTCCTTTATCTTTGAGAAGGCAGTGACATCTCCAATTAAATTTTTCTTCTTAATTTCATATATACTTACATACACTCTTGGAAAGTACTGAAGTCATCAACCTGAGTGCCAAAGACAAGGTATGCCAACTGAGCGTATGCTAAGAAAATAATGAAGAACATAATTGCAAAGCCAAAGAGGTCTTTGGCACACCGAGACATAGTTGTGGAGAGCTGACTCATGGTCCTGTTAAAGTTGATGAATTTGAAAAGCTGTAAGAGAGGGAAGATATCAACAGACGAATGGGTAAATAGAATGTGGTATATACACACAATGGAATATTATTCAGCCTTACAAAGAAATGAAATTTTGATATATGCTACAACATGGATGAATCTTGAAAACATTATACTAAGTGAAATAAGACAAATATTGTGTGACTCTGCTTATATAAGGTGCCCAGAACAGGAAAATTCAGAAACAGACAGTGGAATAGAGGTTACCAGGGGCTTGGAGAGGGGGAAATGCAGAGTTAGTGTTCAATAGAAACGGTTTCAGCTGGGATGATGAAAAAGTTCTGAAAATGCATCGTGGTGATGGTCGCACTACATTGTGAATGTACTTAAGGCCACTGAATTGTACACTCAAAAATGGTTAAAATGGTAAACTTTATGTTATGTATATTTTACAAAAATAAGAGGAGAAAAATGACTTGCTTTCTTTCAAACCTAGCAACTTCTATTTTCTCATTCAGAAAGTATTTGTTCAATATCTACCATGTGCCAGGCTCTATTCTTGGAGCTGGGCATACAGCAGTGAACAGAAAAGCTCCTGTCCTCACACAGCTTACACGTATATGATGGTTAAAATACAGTGAAAATCAGTTTAATTATAATTTAAATGATTAGTGATATTTTTCCCTTAAGAAAGAGTGAAATAAAAGAGAGAGAAAACTCCTTGACAAATGAAAACTAGTAAAAAACAAATCTCCAGGAAATACTTATTGCATATTATTAACTTTTACTTATTGTGCATCAAATATATGCCAGTCATTATAGGGGAGGGCTTACGTAGATTGCCTCGAATCTTCACAGTGACCAAAATATTAGTATTCTATCTCAGGAATCATCTGGGGCCCGGAGGCAGATTTGAACCCAGCTCTGTCTGACTGCAAAGTGAAACTGAGCTTTTTTGTAGAGCAGGCACTGAGTGAGGATGGCTGCCCAGGCTGAGCAACCCAGAGGGCATGGCAACCTGCAGAGCTCTAGCGAGAAGCCTTGGTAGAAGAACACTGAGAGATACAAAGAAGTTGAGTCATGACACTGCCTTAAAGAATGGAATGGTTCTTAAAGTTCTAGGGGCAAGATATGTACAAGCGAAGCACTAAATAAACCACCCAGCCCAAGGCACATGTTGAAAGGAAACCTGTAAAATTTTACCTAAAGATCTCTTAAGTGTTTCTGGCCACACCAAAAATTTTTTCAGGGCTGTTGTAATCGTATTACTTAATACAATTCCTATCAGTATTTCTATGAGATCTTGATTGTTATTACTACTTTATGATGAAGGTTCAGTATGTTAATGATGGTTTCTCCTGTACAAGCATGTGACTGAATAAATAGCATGAGAGATACAAGATGAGGTCTAAGCCCTCTGACAAATCTCAGGCCTTCTAGGTCTCAATACCAATTCAGGAAAATAAATAACTCTTGTAAGTACCTTTTAGAACAGTGCTGTTCAAAAGAATTTCCAACACAGTAGATACTAGCCACATATAGACATTGTATACTAGGGTTACCGAAGAACTGAATGTGTAATTGTATGTAATTTTAATTCACTTAAATTTAAATTTAGGTAGACACCTATGGCTAATAGCTACTGTTTGGATGGCACAATCATAGAACTTGACTGGTGACAGGTTAGCAGCTGCCTTGGAATTACTGAAATTTCTTGCAGCTCCAGAATTAAAGCTCATTGTATACGAAATGCCCTAACTTTTCACATACAGGGAAAAGAAGGAAATGAGTGATTAAGGAACTACTTAGAAGAGGTGCTTGTCCCAACCTCAGTTCTAGGTAAAATTTCCCTATAGCATGTACCTGGGAAAGAGGCAATCCTTCCAGAGAACATTTCCAATGCAGCATCTCCCCTTTCCTTCCTCCTATTTCTCCTAGTTCCTTTTCCTTCACCTGGTCACCCCGTATCAGGTGATACTGAGACTTGTCCCTGTGTTAAAGTAGCCTGGGCTCCACAGGCTCAGCTGATATACTGAAAAGGCCTCTTACTGCATTTGTTAAACAAAACCTATGGGAATAGGCCTTGCAGGAGTTCAGGGAGCATCATTCTCAGTGAAATAAATAATCACATGAGTCCTGCTAGTTTACTTGTAAAATATGGAGAAGCTTTGGCTGGCTACTTGAATTTGACCACAAAAGAAAATTCCTTCATCATTTTCTGTGATTAATGTTAATAAAAAGAGAAAAATATTATTAAAAATCCAGAACATGAGATTTATAAATTACCTTAATCCAGACAAAAAATACTATGACAGCAGCTATATTATTGAACTGTATTTGCCAATATGCCAGATGCTCAAAATTGGGGAAAGTATTTTCGTCTTCCAGAAACTGTAGTAGCACCTCCACATTTGATGTTCTGTATATGTTAATTCCTATAGCTATGACAGATAGCTGGAAAATGAAAGATTTATATATTATTACAGTGTTTTAGAAATATATAACTTACCCTAAAGTGACTACTTTATTTTTCTTCATCATTGTTTTAATTCTAGGGCTCAACATTCTACTTACCCAACCGCATTCCCAAACATCGCTCACACAAATGGAAAGCATTGAGCACTGCCGTCAAACAAGTAAAACAATATATGGCTTACACTTCCTTAGTTAGGAACAGAAATCCAATGAGTACACATATGCATATGCATGCACACATGCATGCGCGCACACACACACACACACACACACACACACACACATGAAAGATGTCACTATGTTTCTAAAACCAACTCAAACAGGAATGTCTTCTGGTTTTGTGTTTTTTTTGCTACCCTTTAAATCATTTTCCACCCTTCTTCTTTTTCTGTCTCATTTTGTTTTCTGTTTGTTTCTTTTCTTTTTCAATTTTCAGCCATCTATTCTTTCCTCATTCAACAAATACACAGCGGATGTTCATGTATACAGAACCGTGGTGGGGGGCAAGAGGAGCAAACAGAAGTAAAATGCACAAACTCCATCTTCAAGAAAGGTCCACTTTGGTTCGAGACCGGATAAATACTCAAAGATAAATAATACAAAAACCTACTGAGGAGCTGGCATGAAATAACATAAGGTGAAGGGTGAAAGGAATGCTCTTAAGAAGAAAGAAAGACTTGGTCTTAAAAGATAAGAGACTAGACAGAGAAGGCTGAGAAGGCTTGAAGTGGGAATACGTCAGCCAAGAGTTTTCCTCTTGCTCCTTTCTTTCCCTTAACTCATGACCACACAACTTTTGACATCTGCTTTGATTCTGAAATATAAAACCATATCTGAGGAGACACTGGGCTATACTTGCATCTGTCACCACTGGATTAACATGTATGTGTGGAAAGTGCTAGGAGTTAACTGTAACAACCTTGCTCTCATGTGGGGACTGAATCCATGGCAGGTGGTGGCTGTGACTCGTGGGCTGTGACAGATGCTGTAACCTTTAGTGCTCATTCTCTCTCTCTTCTCATGGATGATGGTAAAAGACCACTTCATTAGCCCTTCTTGAGAGGCCATCCAAATCATGGCCCCAAGAGATTATCATATCAAAGACCCGCCTGGCTGCTAATCACAGCTAAAAAAGTCAATTTCACCACCATCCTTTTCTTTTCTATGAATATTTCCAGAGCCAATATTGTATTTCCTTTGAGCTCTCTGGAATACTGAAAATGTTTTTCTCCACGGACTTAGCTGAGAGGGATGAAGAAGAAGCTGAGGGAAGTGCTGACTGACTAAATTCAACAATAACCCTTTACCTAATGCTTACTAGGTGTAATTTGTTCTCAATTTTAGTTCTTTTCACTCTGCACAGGACAAATATTTATAAAAATATAAAACATATGGCCATTTATACGGTATCAATGTCATAGTAATACGCTAAATTTCCTTGAGACTTTTCCTTTAGAATAGGGAATGAGAGAAAAGACAAGAAGAAAGAGATTTTAAGAGAATTTGGGTTGTTATGTCATTACTGAGTTTTCTTAGAGATTTGCACTCCTGTCTACAGAAGAACATTTTTTCCCCCTAATAAAACATAAGCCTTACGAGGGTAGGGGTTTTCTTGCTTTGTTCATTCTTATATCCCCAATGCCTAGAACAATGCCAGACACATGGTAGGTGCTCAGACAAGCTCTCTTGAATAAATGAATTAGTCATTTTCACTCTGTGAAATCTACCATTCAACAAAATTATCTGAATTTAGACCTCTTAATTATCTTATTTTTATCAGTAATTCTGCTAGTTTTTTGAAAGACTATTCTTAGGACAAAGGTTGATTGAAGTAAACCTTTAGAATTCAGAATATTAAGGGAAAAAAAAGAAAACTAGAGGAAATAATTTCCAAGTGATTCCAAGATGTTATATTTATATTTAAGATATCATTTATTTTCAAGTTTCAAGTGGACTTCGGCAAATTTGGGCCAGATGAAACAAAAAAGTTTTGGCTCTTTTCATAGGGTTGAAGGTCTAATGAAGGATAAGACACCTTTGAGGGATGAGTGGAAAGCTTGCCCTTATTTCAACTAGGTCAGGAAAGGTTTTAAAGAAAAAGTGAGATTCCAGTAGCCCTTCCTTGTTCCTTTTAAAAGCACACTGTCCAAATTGTTGTCTTGGCAGTACTAAGAGTCAAGAAAAATAAGAACAGTAGCACAATGAAGCAAGTTTTCAAAGAAATACTTGCAAAATGCTATGGCTACTGAGCCAAAGAAACTATCCTCAATTTCCATGAAACCATTAGCTATTTTTCCAGTGGTCTCCAAAGTGGGTACAAGGCAATTCATTGGGATGTGGGAAAAAATATTAAAACTTCTCGGCAGGTGATAAAAAAGCACTGAGATTTTATTTCTATTTGTTTTTACACTAATCTTTAAAATTCTATGTTGCGTATGTTTTTACAAATGTACCTGTTATATCAGCACGCACACACACACAACACATACACTTTGTAAATAAATACAATACATTGGGGTGTGTTGTCAAAGTTTTCACTGACAGGTATACATAATCAAAATAGCTGAATGCCAGTGACTAGACTTTTGTTGATATGGAAGTAATTTAGTTAAAAAGAGGACTTATTAATTAGCATATTACACTTACTTTTTAACCATTATCCTCATTGAGCTAAATATCAATATAGTCATTAAACCAAAACAGCAGGTTTTGCATCCTTAGATTTCCATCACACAGTAGGGAAATATTTTGAAAAATTACTTCCAGTATCACCATCTTTTTAGCATTGTTAAATACTGAAATTCTTTTGTAACTCTGCTCATTATTAATACATGGAGAATTTGGGGATCAAGAATTTACCTATAGGAACTGTGTGATGTTACACAACCATCTTGAAAGAAAGAATGCATTTCTAACTGCATCAGGGCCAGAGTGGTTCCATACTGTATTCTGTAGGAATTTTTATTAAGTAAAAGCTCTTTCTGAAGTACATATGTACGTGCCTTGTGAGGCAGTGGCAGAATGGTTAAGAGGGTTCTTGTGAGGATCAAATGAACTTCTCTATATGAAAAGCACTTGGAACTGTGCCTAGCACAGATAGCTTCTAAAGTGTTAGCAATTATTATTACTATTATTGCTCCTGTTAATATTGTTACGGCCATGAAATATATGTCTATATGGCTTTTTATGTCTTAAGTATTCTTTTACTCACATATGAAGAACATATTTTCTATATTTAATAACATAACATATTAACATATTAATGACATATTTTCTATATGTTACCAACTAATTCTAGTGGTGATTTGATAATGACTTGATGTAAAAGACCAAACAGATTTCTGGACTGGGGGAAGAATAATGGTTAGGAAGCAGAATACTAGAAGAGAGAACACTAAGAGGGTAATGCATCACTTACCGAAATTTCAGAGGGGAATCTCTGTTTTTGGACAGTAGAAAAAAAAGACTTTCAAACATGTGACATTTAAGCAAGTTTATATGCTTAACTGTGTAACAGGGCTTAGCAAAAGATTAAGTGTTGCTGCTGAAGGGAGAAAAGCTTGCAAAAATATATTTCTAGACTGAGGCCTCTGATTTCTACACTGAATGGTTAAAATGATGCTGAAGAGAAAGCATCTAACAAAGTGTTAAAAGTATAAAAGACTCAAGGGCAGGCAGGAGGCCTACAAGGTGTCACAGTCTTGACTATCATAACTCTTAAGATTTCTTGCACCACACACAGTAAACCTTGATGGCCATACTTATATTTTGTACACTGGATTATTTGCAGGAAAATTTCAAAGTGTAGAAAGGTTTTCTCTGCTACCCAAAATATTTCAGGATGTTTCTTCTTTCCATAACTTAATACATGTGCATAAAAATATAAATTAATTTTGAGCAGTAGTTGAAGAAAAATATCATTGGCAAAAATCAGAATAAACAAAATGAAACACTGTTTTCTCCTCCACATCTCACATGGCATGCTGGAGGCAAATATGAATTACTGTTATTTTTGTTATTAGTGTGTCTGAGAGTTTATTGTAAATATCTCTCCATTTCCACATTCAGAAGGGTTATTCATGCAAAATTAGAAAAATAATTAGTAACATTGAAATTAATGTAATAAAAGTTCTAGATTCTCTTTCAGGATTATCGAGATTCACAATGCTGAGGAGACTAGGACTGTAATTAACATGTTTTTGGACAGAGGAGGGAATTTGGTGTTATTCTCAAACCTACCACAACGATCACAACATCCAGACAATTCCAGAAACTCCTGAAATAGTGTAGTTTGTGAATGCGAATTTCCAATATCTCTTCCACCACATAGTAAAGGATAAAGAAACAAAAGATAATCTCACAGGCTGCCAGGAAGAAATCAAAAGTTGTGACATATCGGATCAGCTTTACAGGCTGAAATTGCCAAGATGGAATCACACCGCCTGTTGCTGGGAATTCAATCAATAACCTGCATTGTAATAAGAACAATTAAAACAGTAACAACAACAGATGGATGCACCCAGGAAAGGACATCCATCTATTCTGTCCCTGCATTATAAGGTAATAAAACTGTGACCACAGGTCACCCCAAACTAATGGCAAATGTTTTTATCACAGTTAGTGACTTCATATATGTAGAATTTGTGTCATAAAAGGAACAAGACTTTCTGAGGCCTCCCAGACCAAACATTATTCCATATTCAGTCTCCCCTTAACTTCTCTAGTTTTCATACTGTTCAAAATGCTATATACATATATTTTAAATGTAGAAGTTAATCAACAAACAAGCCTTTCTAGAACTTTGATTAAATACAAGTCATTCTACTAGGCAATGAAGAACATAAGAAATATAAGTCATGCATTCAAAACATGAATGATCTGGTTGAGAATTGTATGTTTTTGTAATAATGATACAAAAGGGGCTAAGTTCTCATTCATATATTTGGTAACACCAAACTAGCATTAAATAGTTTGCTCTAGGAGGTACTTTTTTCTACCCTTCCCAGGGCCTTAGAGTTAATAGGTGCTAAATAAATATCTGATTGTCTGAAATAGTAACATATATTTTTTAAATTCATACTGATGGCACTGATCTTTAGTGCTTTACCATAATTGAAGTGAGGACTTTTTTTTTTTTTTGCCAAATTGCCATTTTGTAGGTATTACAGTGAGAAAGTTAAATGATTCATTTAATGGTACGGTCTCCCTATCGAACTAGAAATACAATCTCTAGATCCTTAATTTTAAGAACATTAGTTATTCACCAAAACCATTTTTCTCATTACGGGATTGGTAGCCACACTAGAACTTGAGTATTTAGGATTCATGCATGAGTGATAATCAAGTATAAGCAGGGACTATGGAAAATTAGAATTGGTCAAAGAGATGTGAAATTTTTGCTTCCTCTTCATTGTCAGTCTTCTTTTCCTTCTCTCCTATTTTGATGTGTTGGAGAGAATGCGTAAGGACCAAAAACTGAGGAAGGAAATACTGAAACAAAGAGCCTTGTGACAACCTCACTGGGAACTCATGAGGGCAGGAAGTGGCATCTGTGCCAAGTCATCTCCCTGAAGCTCCTTCTGGCCCTGGATCTGTCAGTTCCTTTCAGAAACTCAGACTACAGTGCAGAGAAATGAAGTAATTGCCTTGACAATACTCACTTTTAAAGAATGAGGAGGAAGTGAAAGACAATACTCAGGACCTTCTATAAATAGATATTTTCTTAAAAGTCAATCAGAGTTGCCTGCCTGTTTCTATCCTCTTCCTATGCTTGCTGGAATCATTAGGAAAAGTTCAATAACAATTGCAATAGATTCTCATTCATTTCTAGTAATAACTATTACTTGTTCTAATGTGATATTACTTTCTGCAAAGGTTGTTAAATATAAGGACTAGGAAAATCCAACTGGTCATGCAAAGCAGAGTTGAGGTTACCCTCAAAAATGATCATAAGAATTTATCCTTCTTATTCGATGGGTAAATATACATGAAGGTAATTCATGCCAGTGTTGGTGATATGTTCACCAGGAGGATTAAAGTGGGTGAACTTTGGATCCCCCTTGCTTTGCTTTACTTTTTCATTTTTTAGAGAATGTATTACCTTCTAACATACCATGTAATTAATTTGTTTTGTTTATTGTTTATTATCTTGTTCTGGTTAAATGCAAGCTCTGCAAGATCAAATCTTTATTTTGTTCACTGATGAGTCCCACGAGCCTAGAAGAGTGCCTAGCACATTTTAAGTGTCCAATATATGTTTGCTGAATGAATGAATGAATGAATGAACAAGAGGCCCTGCACAAGCCAGTGGGTTCTTTGCCAGTTTCCTCACTGTTACCTGAGTGGTCATGAGGGCAATGTCACAGGATCTATAGAAGGAACTTTATGCGCCTTTGGTGAATCTTGAGTGTGAGCAGGTACCTGGGGATCTTACTGAACCTGGACATAGCCCCTGACTACCGTGTTTCTGTTCTAAGAGCAGGGGCATCATCCGAGAGTGGAAAACTCAGGAAAATGAGTCAAACTTTGATGGCTGTGGGCCTTAGTAATGTAGCACCGATCATCCTCATGATGAGTAAAGACAGCTGTTAGCAAAACACAGTGCTTGGGGGACAAAGCTGGACCACCTTAATGTCTTCCTAACCTATAATATTCCAGGATCCTAACTCCCTTCCCTCAAATATCCTTATCCCAATCAACCTTCAGTTTTCACCCCTCCCTTGCTATCAGCTCTGTTCCCTGGCACTCTCATTTAGCCAACTGCAGAAAACATTTTTCTGGTCTATCTTCAAACTACAATGTATATACAAATACACAAAAAAGGGAGGGCTGAGTGCCCTTGGTACACACCTGATCACACAAAACAGGTTAACGTTGGCGTTGTATACTGAAAAGTCAATAAAAACTGCCCTGGTTCCTCGGTCTAGCCAGACATTTTTCTTGAGGTTAGCAATCTGAGCAGCTGTTTCCTCTCTTGTTCTTGACAAATCCAGGTAATAGCCAGCACCACTATAAGTTGCAATCATTCCCCAGTGGCTACTCCCATTCAAGTCTTTTTCGCTTGTGTAGATCCAACTAATTAAAAAACAAAACAAACAGGTAAAAATCAGTAGAAGACTTATGGCAATTATAAAGATGGTTTTTGGTAAAAGAGTATGTAATAAATATGTCTTATCAAGTTGGGTAATGTGCTCACATGTGTTTTCTTATTTAATTCTCACAGAGTCATTATTCCCATTTTAGGAATGAGGGCCCTGAGGCTTAGCGAGGTCAACTTAACCTCAGAGTGTTTGAGGGTAAAGTCAGGAACCTAGATCAGGACTGTCTGTCTGCAGAGCCTGTGCTATTAGCCCTCAGTTTATATGGCTGCCTTCCCTGGGTAATTGTACTCAGGGACTAGCTGACTCTAGGCCCTCAAGGAAAGCTGCAGCCAAAAGAAGGACAGGTTCATCGAGTGCCACTATTGGCAACTGAGCTAAATAAGACTCCACAAAGCATTTGGGAATTTAATCCACAAATATTTACATAGGCCTCACTTAGAAGCGAGATGCTTCTTTGGCATTAGTGGGTATATAAAGAGATGAACCAGGATCCTGTCCCTTCCAAATTTGCAAGAAATAGGAAAAGAAAAGTTGTAATTAGACAATTAAAATACAAGGTGGATGATAAGAACCAAAATAAAAGTATAGAGAAATTGCTCAAGCACCTCAGAGGAGAGGAAAGCTACATTTGTTTGGAGGTCCTGTGATGGGAAAGGTGAATCAGAGTAGGTTTTGGGAAGAAGCCTTATTGAATCTGGGCCTTGAGAGGTAAGAAGAATTCAGACTTACACAGGTGGATGGGAAAGGCATTTTCAAGCTGGAGACAGGCAGGGCCAGGGGAGAAGTTTGTACGGTTTGGCTTCCACATGACGAAGAAAAGAAGGTCAAAAGGTAGACTGTGGCCAGATTGTGAAGGGCAAACACAGAGTCATGGGAGGGAATGTTGCTGGGGGTCACTCTGGTGGTAGTGGGAAAGACCGGAGTGGGGAGGAACAGAGGGCTCATGAGCAGAAAAGTGTTAACGTAGCGAGTCTGAATAACCTTTCCTTAGGAAGTGTGCTCGCAAGGTTGGACCTCGGCTGGCATCTGGAACTTGACTGATAAACAGCCCTCTACACTGATATAAAACTTTCCCTGACTGAACCTAAGCTGTCTGTGCATACCAGGTAGCTTATGCTGAACATCTACTTTCCTTCTGGGAGGTTGGGATTTGGGTATGTGACAGGCAGAGAGTGCCTATATGACCAGCACACAGTAAACACCTTAGGCACTGAGTCTCTAATGAGTTTCCCTGACAGACATTTCACACATGCCGTTACGAATTGTTACTGGAGGAATTAAGTACATCTTACGTGAGGCCACTGGGAGAGGACTTTCAGAAGCTTGCACTTTGTTTCTTCCAGATCTGCCCCATGTGCCTGCACCTTTTGTTGCTTTTGCTTTATTCCCTTTCACTGCAATAATCTCAGCCATGGATACAACTTTATACTGAGTGTTCTAGTAAATCACTGAACTGGGGCGTGGTCCCGAGGACCCTGACATAGCTCAGTTAGCAGTCCCTGCAACAACCAAGAGGTGGTGAGACTTGAACTAGAGCAGTGATGGTGGGACCAAGCGAGTGCTGCCACTGTAGTGACTGTCAACTGATTTGGAAGTTGGGGAAGGGAGAAGGGACATCTTAAAAATGGCTCTGTAGTCTCTTTTGGGGTAATGTAAAGATGGTGGTACCATCAACAGGAGGAAGAGCAGATCCAATCAGAAAGTGATGAGTTTAGTTTGGGGCATACTGACTTATAGGAGTTGATAGGACATATAGGCAGACTATTTGTCTTCTATCACTGCAATGTAAGCTCTGTTAACACGGGGTATTTGATTGTGCTTTGTTTGCTGCTGCTCTGTTACCCCAGCCAGCACCAAGGGCACTAGCAAGAAAAAAGAGACCTTACTTGGAACATGTTGTAGACACAGGTAGACATTCAGTATATTTGTTGAAGAGATGATGAATCATCAAATAGAGATGACGGTGGAAGCTATTTTAATGTTTGAATAAAGAAAGAAAAGACGGAGACTTGAATATGTAACTTGGGAGTAAGAAAGAAAAGGTGAGAAAAAAAGGAGGTTATAGAATTCAGAGAACTCAAGTTCAGTGTCACTCACAGAAGGCAAAAGAATGAGCAATCAATACTGCCACATTCTTCAAAGAGGTTGAATAGAACGAAGACTGAGAATTGTTCAGTAGATTTGCTACCTAGAGGTTACTAGTATCTTCCAAGAGAGATGTCAAAAGCAAGGGTTTAAGTGTTAAGGGGTGAATCAATGGTAAGGAAATGGAGGTGTCAAATGAAGACTATTCTTTCAAGATTTTTTTGAAAGAGAAATGGGAAACTTGAGAATATGGCAGGATCAAGGGGTGGCTAGATATACTCAAGCAAGATCCCCTTCAGTGGTGGAAATCACTTATTCATCCATGCATCCAACAGGTATTTACTAAGCATCTTTACAGACCAGATGCTGTTTGAGGTTTCGAGAATAAAGCAGTGAACAAAATAGAGTTCCTGCTCTCAAGAGGCTTGAATACTGATGAGGAGCTTAGGGCAGCAAGAAGCCACCTTAACAATGTAATTGATATGGAAGAAGAAAACACAGGCTTTGGAGTCGGGCTTGTTAACTCAATTTGGTTCCACTTATGAACTGTGGTGCTTTGAGTAAGTGAGCTTCTGTTTTTTCATCTATAAAATGAAACTAATACCTATTTTCAGAGTTGTTTTGTGAAGAGTAGATGAGATAATGCATGAAATCATTTCTTAAGTAGCATCTGGCATGGAGTAGAGGCTGCATAAATTTCTCATATTTATGATATGAGATAAAGTAAAATATTAAACAAGGTACCACAGTTCAAGGGCATGCTTATATTTTGCAAGAACAAGAAAATGGAGTATCAGAAAGGAAAATCATTATCATGACCTGAAAAAAAAGTCTTTTCAGATTATTTAGTCTCTTTACTCTAAATCTTCTGATTTTTACTAAATTTCTTATGGACCCTGATACTAAATATGGTGTGTACTAGATGACAGACAAAGAATCTGATCATGGAAAAGGTGCTTGCCCCTATCTATATGAACATGTATATGAACAAATCTGGATTCTGGGTGTCTCAGTTCCCAGGAAAGGAATCTAAATGAACTGACAGAATTAGCTTAGTAAAGTTTAGATGACAGTTCTCACCACAGTGACTCACCCAGGGCAGTGACCCCAAAAGGCTTACCTTGGGACAGCCTGAGAGGTCTTCTCATTTAATTATAATAACTACAGTAATTCTAAAAATAATGACTGTCCTCCCAGAAGCATTTGAGATCTTGCTCCCTGGCACATATCATCCATTTGGCTCAAATAAGCTCTTATAAAAACATTCAAAAATATGTAAAAATAATGAATGTCCTCCCTTAATACACAAGAAGTTTTAAGTATGGTTACCAAAGAGCATAAAAAATCTCTCTATATATACATAGATATATGCGTATTACAAATACATACTCAAAATCATAAACACATATTTGAGAAGGATGGGCTTTAAGCCAGACAGAAACTGCCCCACAAACTTATTATACACTTTAAATTATTACACTCTGAACAAAAATTTATTTGTAAAAGCTAATAACAAAAAAATTTTTGTATCACAAAATTTCCTTGTAATAACCTAGTAAATGATATTACTGGAATCCAGGCATCTTAAAAGAAACATCTGAAGGACCACATAGCTTCTTTCTTGTAGGCTATAAGGTCAATGATTTGGCCATTTGAAAAATATTTACACAGAAGCTGAAAAAGAGTAAAAAGTAGAGAAAATCTGAGAAGCCAAAAGTCAATTTGACCATGGCCTTAAATATAAGCCTCAAGGCATCTTCTCCTTAGTGAAGGAGTCAGAGAATGAATGAATGAATGAATGAATGAATGAATGAATGTCGGTGAGAGGCCAGGGCAAGTGGCCAAGAGCTACAGACACTTACGCGGTTCCATTTCTCGGACCAAACGGAGCCCTGTCCTCACTGCTGACAGAGTAGACATCATAGCACTCTTTAATTTCATCTCTCAAGTCCTGAGGGATAGAACAGGACCCATTTCTGACTTTGAGCTGCCGTATCCGTGGTACCCCTAACAGGAGATTCTCATAGTAGATGAAGCTTCGGTTGTCAGCTTCGGTTCCGTTGTTGGGCTGTGTCTTCCAGTACAGCCCATCCAATAACGTGCCTTCTGTGAACTGAAAGCAAAGGAAACATTTCTGAAAAGCTCCCAGCTCAGTGGCTGCCTTGCTGCTGCCTGGAATGTTTGTGTGACCAACAGTGTGGCACTTTGTGAATACAGTAGAGTGACAGGGTGGGTTTTGTTGTCAGAAATCTAAGTTGGATCTTAGTCCATCATTTGCCAGTTGTGAAGCCTAGAGCAGGAGCCTCCTTTGAGCCTGGGTTCTTGCGCCCATAATGTCCTTCCTTTGCACGGTTACTATACCTGACACGTAAATAGAGTTCTCAGGTCTCAAATAGGCTCAACTCATTGGGATTACCCTGCAGTTTTCACTTCACAGTCTGAATGGAAACTAAGAACTCCAGTTTTGGGATGTTTTCAGATTTCATTTTGAGTTTTGCTGAAAAGTGAACATAACATGCTCTAAATCTTTTAGAGGATTATATTTTTATTCCACTGATGGTTATCAAATGAGATTGTCCAGTGTGGCAAGTTCATAAAACCATTACATTTTATGATTATAATTTTTTTACAGCAGCACTTTCTACTGGCTTTAGTTGGGATTTGTCTTTCATTATGACTGTTAGCCATTCTCACTCGATTCCTCTAAGACTCATTTAAGTTACAGTTAATATTTAATATTTAGACTATTTTAAATATTAGCAGAATTTATAAATGAGGTATCTGCAAGGCATTTAAAATGTTAGAGATGTTTTAACTTAAAAATTATTTAACTTTTATTGGGTTAAGACCTTTTCTGTGTGTACCATAAATATTTTTTCAGAAAAAGATAAAACAATGGTGATGACTGGTTTTCTGAAGTTTTATGTACTGCACAATGATCCTCAAGTATACAAAAACTACATAAAGTAGCATTTTTTCCAGTCTTAGAATTGGAACAAATGCCTATGTGGTTTAGTTGGATAAAATGTATATATGTTTCATATATTATAGAATAAATATATAAATCAAAATTTCCTATAGAAAACTAAATTTGGGAGTTGAGGCAAAAATAGTTTGAATATTAATTTATTTTTAAAGATTCAAGATAGGACTTTGTGCCATGTATTTTCGTAAATGCTTTCAAAATATTTGTCTTTGGCAGTGTTTCATTTGCTGCCTCCAAATTGGTAAGATGATAATGTTTAAATGAAGAGTTTTAATTTTTAAATTAAATTAAAGTGTGATATTTCAAATGAATAATAAGCAGCATATTTCTTTTTTAAAAATGTAGAGTACTTAATGAATTTGCATGTCATTCCTGTGTATGGGGCTACGTTATCTTCTCTGTACGGTTTCACAGAACATAGGTACAGGGTAGGTACTTACTAAATGAAAACGGATTTTTGCTCTAGGACTGAAGGCAGGAGTGGAAGGGGTGGTATGCATAAATCTATAGCCACAATCAACTTCATTTTCCCTTAGTAAAATAGTTAATAATTAATAATCATGGTTCTAAACTTGCTTGGAAAGGAAAAGTCTATAGTTTTGATTACCGGTCTGCCATCCGGTGGAACTTTTAATTGTTTGGATAATTTTACCATATGGTGAACTCTCCAACCCCACCTACCCCTGCTTTTAGAGCTTGACATTTATTATCATGGAATTGTGTACGTGAGAAGTCTCTGGTTAGTTTGCCTATAGAGAAGGCAGATCTAGTCATTCTTAGTGTCTTATCAGATAATCAATACGGATAGACTGATTTTCCCCATTGAGGGAGGAAAAGATTCATATTATGAAAGGGAAATATTCATATTATGCAAGTGTGGTTTTAGATGCCAAGTATTTTTAGGCATTAGCATAAACAGGTTCCTATGATCTGGTTTCCTCTATCTTTAAAAACAACATCTGACTGCCAGGGTTTTATAAGAATTTTAGAAAGCATCTCCTCAGGAAGAAACAATCATTTCCTTTCCAATTTCCCTCTCAATTTCCATAGATTCTGAGCACCACATCTTCCAGATCAGTTTAATATTTTTCCTACAGTTATCATTTATTGCTTATCTTTTGCCTCCATGTCAGAATTTGTGACAATTTGGGAAGGGGCTGGGTTGAATTTTACATTAGAGATCTTTAAAAGAATATGTTTGCCTTGTTTCGAGAACTGTTCTAGGATACTTGCCATCATCAACAAAAACACAAAAAACCTAAAAAACAAAGCAAGACAAAACAACCAAATTTTGCCCTATGGGCCTTATATCGTAGGAGATACTCAATAGATATTTACTGAGTGAAATGACTGCATGAATTATAAACTAGGTGAGAAAGTGTCTATAGGCTAGAATAAAGTCAATTTTTCCTACTCCCTGGCCATGTGTAAGTACTCAGAATCTCAGTTTCTTCATTTACAACATAAGGAATATCAGTACTTACCTTCTATGGTTATGATGGAGATTCAAAAAGATAGGAAACAGCAAGGCACATATATACTTCCAACAACTCACCGTAACTTTCACATCTTACGCGGTCTAAGGCATAAGGGAGGCCCTACAGATACTGCCAAATTGAACTTACGAAGCCAAATGAACAATTTTCAGTGATAAAGAGGTACTCTCAAAGTCATTTGCAAATACCTTCCAGAAGTCTTCCATTGAAGAAAGAGTTTTAAAGTTAGTTTTCTCCGTTTTGGACACCGGGGTTTCTAGGAAGAGCTGTGACATTATACGAGTGTAGTAGTACACACTGGAGCTTGTCATCCCGTAGGTCACTGGAACACAGAGAGACCCAAATGAACTCTGTGAGGGAACCCGCACACTCACTCTCACATTCCCAGCGGACGAGCAGATCTCCATATATGTTCTGCTCTCACCTTCACCCTTCTTCCCCTCATCATGCTTCTAGGGTATCTTCCTTGCACACTGGCTTATACAATAATTTAACATTGGCTTAAAACAAAATTAGTTTACTGAGGATCAAATTAGGATCAGACAACTTTACTTGACACTGGGGACTTCCAACATGCCTCTTCATCTCCCACCGCCTTCAGATCAGACTCTCCGCACTGGTGAGGCTGCTCTGCACACGCCCCAACAGAGACCATGCTGAGCTCCTCAGCCTACAGCTGTGCCCGTGCTGCTGACTCTCCCTATAGTAACATGGCAGGCCATTCTGTTTCCAGGTCACATCTCCATTCTTCTTGCCTTGCTTTGTGCCCCGAGGTTGACCTCTACAGGTTGTACCACACGGGGTCCCTCAATGTGAGGGCACGAGGAGAGAGAGGTTGGGTTTATTCCCACACTCTACACCCCATTCCCTCACCACCTAGATGCAGTCTGCCCTGGGACTCTCTAATCTTGATCACAGCTTCTGGGGGAATCTCTTCTCCCACAGCCATCTTGGGTTTACACCAGCCATGCCATTCCCTCCCTTTTCCTCCTCAAGCCTGGAGGTGATAACTTTCCTGAGTGCCTCGCTTCTCTTTGTTGGCCTCTGTAACCCCGCCAACCTTCATTAACTTTTTAATTATCATTTTGAATCTTCTATCTCTTTCCTTCCAGGATGCTGACAGATACAGGCACATCTGCTCCCACCTATTAACTCACGTATTAAACACTAAACTCAAGCTCCACCCCTGACAGGAAGACTTGCTGATTATATCAGCCCATTGTGAACAGTCCTAGAAGAAGGTGGGAAGATAATATAATGTCCAATAACGGCGGTTCTTCCTCTTTAGTTAACATAACTATTAAAAATGTCAGCACTTTAATGAATTCTATCTTATGCTGGACTCTAATGACTATAGGTGTAATATGCTGTAATTCCTATAATTAGCTGACAAAAAACTTCTAGGGGAAGCACGTTTTATTCTTCTTTTGATGATAGTCTTGACATTCAGCAGGTAATTAATTCTTAGCCAATTCTATAATAATCTCGGGCATCATAAAATTTTTTAAAACCTTGTTATTAAATGATTTGGGGATTAAATGCTATAGAGTAAACTCTCTCCTGCATATCTCATCCTCTTCTCCACCTGAGCATCATAAAAAATTAAGAGTATTAAAAGAGAGGAGTAGATAATAGCGCCCTAAACACAGGTGTCTAAGAGTCCATCTTCAGCAGCCAATGGAGCAATAAAAACACACAATTCACACAGCGTGTGTGCTGTATCTAGAGCAGGAAGAATGTTTCCAGTCACCTCAGTTAGGTTTCCTCACCTGTCATCCCATGGCCCACTGATTAGGAAAAGAACACTCCTCTCCAAGCTTCACAAAACCAGCCATCTCTCAAGACCATATTGGAGTAGACTTTTTAATCCATTATATTTATGAAACAAGGTGTGGGATATAAAGATGAGCAAGATGTGATCTCTGCCTTCAAGGAGAGGAGTCAGAGAGTCCCTGGGGAGAGTACCACCTACACAGCCCCACAGAGGGATAGACAAGGTACAATGTGCTCTACAAAGGCTTTCTGTGGATCAGTCAGTTGAGGGAAGAAAGCTGATATGATGCTAAGGAGTAGTAGTGAAGGCTTCCCAAGGCTGACTAAATGATTAAGTTTAATTTTTCATTAACTTGAAATTAGAATTTGCATTGGGATTGATTAATATAGATCATTCTGGAATTTTTTATCTATGGTTTTTATTGTTGTTAAAAAAGGAATTTTAAACAGTTATTTTTGCTTATAAATATGGTAGTTATGTATGTATGTAAATCTTAGCCAACGATTAAAAAATATATCTCCTTTATGTTCCTGTATTTTCAATTCTGGTTTTGCTTTTGAAATTCTCAGGGCCAGTATGGAATTGAATGGCTTCACAAAAAGGGAAATGACAGATCTCTTTAGCTATGTAGCACCACCTGCTGCACATCCAGAGAAACAATGCCATCCAGCTTTGAAGGATGCTTATTCTAACTCATTCAATCAGCTAATATTAACTCAGTCCCTCCCCTGTGCCAGGCCCTGGGCTAGTCTGTGGGATATCTTCTAGTGACACTTCCACACATTCCGGGATTTGGTTGCACCATGAGTCCATGCAGGCTGTAGCTAAAGGACCCTGGATTTGGAGTCAGAATAATTTGGGTTTGAGTTTCCACTTTGCCTCATCTTGAATATCTGCCTCTGTGTTAGGGGTCTCGGTGTCTTGGAATCTTGGACAACCACTTAACTTTTCTGGGCTTCAGTTTCATTATCTAGAAAATGGGAATAATAACATCTAGGGCTTTTGTGTAGTTTAACTGGAGAAGCATTATGCAAAGGCATTTTTGCATACTGTTAAATACAATAGAAATATGACTATGATATCATTTCTCCATTCGGTTCCTGATGGAGAATGCCCACTTGGAAGGTGGCATTCACTCTTTAAATAAGCTGAATTATGAAGAAAAGAAACTACGGCATGATATAGAAAACTTGAAAGAAAAGGAGAATATTAAAAATATAATGTAAAGGACTCATATATATCCTATGTGCCTACATTTCTTTTGCTATTTAGTCCTTGTCTTAACGGACTCATATATATCCCATGTGCCTATATTTCTTGTGCTATTTAGTCCTTGTCCATTTTCCATAAAAAAGCCAGGATAAAAAATATTATCACAGTTCACAGGATCACCAACTAATCAGCATGTAAATTAACCAAAGTTGTCTTAAAAACATGGTCTCATTTCAAAATAGGCAACAGACACTATATTATTCTTAATATTGTGAAAATATAAGCTCAAATATTAAAAACAAATAACTGGAATTATACTAAATAAACTCCAAACTGTTAGAATAAAAAGCAAAGAAAAAATTTCCAATGTAACGAAAGAAAAAAAATTATAAAATAACAGGAAAGCAGAAAAACAGAGGTAAAAATAAGATGACAGAAATCTGACAAAACCATAAAATGTGAAGGTTAAACTTACTAGACAACAAAGTCGGAAATACTGGTTAAAAAATAAAAAATGTATCTCTAAAATTTTTAGGAGACTCACTCAAAATGAAGCCAAAAATAAAGGAATAAGAAAGTACATACTAAATATATATTAGAGATAAAATACTTTTTAAAATTTGTTAAGTGGTATAATAATCTGACAAAGGAGATTATAAGGTGAGTATTCAGTTAAATAAAAAGTTTTTTCAAGTGTTGGAGAGGATGCAGAGAAAAAGGAACCCTCACACACTGCTCATGAGACTACAAACTGGTACAGCCACTATGGAAAACAGTATGGAGGTTCCTTAAAAAGCTAAGAATTGATCTATCATATTCCCCAGCAATCTTTCTACTAGGTATTTACCCAAAAGACTTGAAAACATTTATCAGAAAAGATACATGCATCCTGATGTTCATAGTAGCATTATTCACGGTGGCCAGGACATGGAAGCAACCAAAATGTCCTACAACAGATGACTAGATAAAAAAGCTGTGGTACATATATACAATGGAATACTACTCAGCCATAAGAAGAGATGAAATACTGCCATTTGCGATAACATAGATGTATCTTGAGATAATCATGCAAGTGAAATAAGCCAGACAGAAAAAGCTGAAAATCACATGATATCATTTATATGTGGGATATAAATCTAAAAGCAACAAACATGACAAGCTACCAGAGATTCATGGACATGGGCAGTGAACTAGTGATTACCAGAGTGAAAGGCGGGGAGGAGGGAGGCAGATGGGGAAAAAGGGGTCAAATATGTGGTGACAGAAAGAAATATAACTATGGGAGGTGAACGTACAATGCTATATATATATGACTTATTGTTGAATTGTACACTTGAAACTTACTGGATTTTGTTAATCAATGTCACCATAATAAATAAAAATATAATTATTAAAAAATAAAAAGGTTATTTTATATTGATAATACCATGTATAATGATTTAACTATAATGAACTCTAATGTATTGAATAACAACACTAAGATACATAAATCAATAGCTTCTAGTAATATGAGAATTACCAACATGATTGTAGTCGGAAACTTAAATTTATATTCTCTCAATCTTTTACAGAGAAAGCAGACAAAAGTTATCTGAGAATAATACGGGTTTTAATTGAATATGTGACTTAATGTATATACATCAAACTTTATATCGTACCAAAAGAGGTCATTCAAATTATTTTTCAAATATGAAAATTAGTAATATGCTAGGCCACAAAGAGAACATCAGTAAATCTCTAAAATTAAAACTCCACCAGGCAAGTATCCTTATAAGAAGGCCATATGAAGAGAGAGACACAGGGCAAACGCCCTGTGAAGATGGAGGGTTGGAGTGATGCAGCTATACAGCAGGGATGCCAAAGACTGACAGCAAACTACCACAAGCTAGGGAGAGGCACCGACAGACTTCTCTACAGGTCTCAGAGGGAACATGACCCTGCAGACATCTTGATTTTGGACTTCTAATCTTCAGAATTATGAGACAACAAATTTCTGTTGTTTTAAGCCAAAAAGCAAAAGAAACAAAAAGAAACAAAAACCTCCAAACCAAACAAAAAACCCCTCACAAAAACCAGAAAACCAACCAGGTGACATTTTTTAAACCACAAATGCAGAAAAATAATATAAAAAGGATAAACAAATATACAGATAAAACCAAGCCATCTAGAAATTAAAAACTTTTTTTCTCTAAATAACTCTTGGGCCAAAGATGAAATCAAAACTGCCACACAAACATAAATACACCAGATATAAAGACAACAGAACAAAGGTGCTTTGGTCCCAGGATTCCAGGCCATCCACCACAAAGTGAAGCCATCATCTCAAACAGGAAACC